GGGGTACTCAGTGGAGCATCTGAAGACATACGGCATACAGGGTCCCAAGGGCCATGGGCATGGAAGTGACAGGGCTCAGGTGTGAGACTGTAGGAGTCACAGGGGCAAGAAGTGTCAGGCTACTTGGAAGACATTATGTTGAATGAAATAAGTCAATCACAGAAGGACAAATATAGCATTAGTTCATTATTGGAAAAGTCAAGGAAAGGTTTATATATGGAAGGAAACTTTGTTGGTTACGGGGGGGGGGGGAACACTGCCAGGGGAAAAAAAATGCATTGACCCTGTCACTTTAGTTTTGTGTATTTCAGTATTTCACTGTACATACATGATATTTCAATAAAATGTAAAACAAAAAAAAAAAAAGTGTCAGGCTAACGGGCACCACACCAGGGTTGCTGTTAGAAGTGTTTGGTGGTCAAGAATGTATTTATGAGTTAGAGAAACAGGGCACAGCATAGAGGTCACAGGCCCAGAGGTGGCCGGCCAGTCGATTCAAGAGCACACAAGACAGGCCCAAAGGTGCTAGGGGTTCAGGAAGGCGCACCTGTTGGCCAGGTGTATTAATATGAAAATGCTGCTGCATGCAAGTTGCCCAATAGTGCAGGCTGAGCCAGGCACAGAAGTGCTAGGGCCTGGAGGCAGGGTGGAGAGCTGGGGTTGGGGGATGGATGGAATGAGTGCGGATGGACTCCCACCCTTCCCACACTGGTCCCCACCCCTGCTCCACCCCAGACCCCACAGGCATCAAGGATCACGGCACGATGGCCACGGGCCTGCTAACGCTGCTTGCTCCTGGTGCCTGCGCTCGCGTGGCGTGCCTGGGGTGCGCGGGGCACAGGCACGCCAAGTGCCCTGCCCCAGGGGCCTGCACGGCTCCTGCTGCTGGGGAAGTTGCTGCAGCCGCAGTTCAGACACTTGGACCGTGCACCGATGGAGGCAGCCACCAGTGTGTGGAGGAACCGAATTCTGGATTCGTGGAGGTGGGGAGGGGGCTAGAAGTGGTTCCCTGAATGAAGATGGGGCTGAGGGCTCTGACCCTCTGTGTCCTGAGGAAGGATGAGGGGTCCTGAATCCTGAGGGCTGGAAAAGAAGGGGACTGGGGGGGGGGTGCTGCAGGTCTGGACATCTGGGACCTGAGGGAAGAGGAGACTTGGGCGGGAAGTCAAATCTCCCGGGAAATGCGGGGGCGGGATGGGCTCCTGGCTCATGGCAGGGTCAGGTTGGGGGCCCGACTCTCGGGGCCCAAAGGAGGACCCTGCGGCGAGAAAGCAGGTTCCATGGGAAGAGGTCCACAAAACAAAAAACAAACCCACTGCCCTGGAGTTGATTCCGACTCTTAGAGACCTTATAGGACAGAACGGAACTGCCCCAATAGGGTTTCCAAGGCTGTAACTCTTTACGGAAGTAGACTGCCTCATCTGTTTCCCGTGGAGCAGCTGCTGGGGTCCAACTGCCAACCTTGTGGTTAGCAGCCGAGGTCTTCAACCGCTGCTCCACCAGGGCTCCTGAAGAGGGCACAGGGGGTCTGAATTCCTGAATCAAGGGAGAGGGAGGCTGAGGGCCCGGACACCTAGTTCTGAGGGTGGAAGAGGCTCAGAACCTGGACTTGTAGGTCCTGAGGAGGGAGCAGAAGGCTGGAGCCCTGGGTCTTAGGGAGGAGGGGCTGGGGGCCTAAACTCCTGGACTTGAGGAATAAGGCCTTCTGGGTCTGAAGGAGGCATGGGCTGGGGCTGGGACTCTGCGTTCCCCCTGAGCACGAGCTACCGAGCTACCGGCCGCTGGGGCCCGGTGTTCACCTTGGTTGGGTCCGCGGCCTGCGGTGGTGCTGTGCGGTTATGAAGCGCTGCGGGACGCATTAGTGCTGCAGGCAGACACCTTCTCCGGCCGTGGGGCCATGGCCGTCTTTGAACGCTTCACGCGCGGGAACGGTGAGGCGGAGGAAGGCAGGGCTTGAGGGCCGAGGAGGGCGGGGGCGGGCAGGCCACTTTCTGGTCAGAATCGAGGCTAAGGAGCGCCAACAGCGAGGAGGGGGCGGGGTCAGTTGTGGGGCGGGGCTAGGGACGGGGCTGAATAATCGTGCAGCCAATAGGAGAGAAGAGGCTGAGTCGAAGGCAGAAAGAGCAAGCAGTGGTCAGGGGTCGGGACCCCCAGAGATGGAGCCAATGGGTGGATAGGGCCGAAGCCAAACGATAGACAAAAGAGGGGTCAAGGAGAGCACTCCGGATTAGCAACCAAGAAGTCAGTAAAGGAGCAGAGGGAAGAATTGCGAAGAATTCAGGCGCAGGAGTTGGAGGCCTGAGAAGGGGTGTGGCTAGTGCCTGGGTGCTTCTTGGATGGGGCGTGGCCAACTCGCGGGCCCTCCCCCTTTCTCTGACTCTCTTGCATCCGCTTTTCTAACGGGGCGCGCTGGCAGGCTCAGCGCAATTTCACACTTGGAGCCTTGAAGGAGTCCGCGTTGGGTACGCGGACCATCGAGGAGCGCATCCTAGACGGGGTGGCTTATCTGCTTGACGAATTTCAAGCCACCATTGGTACGGCCCAACTGGGAAAGCTGAGGGGCCTGGTGTGGGTGTAGCCAAGCTGGGCCGTACGGAAGGGTTTGGATGGAACCAAAGGCAATAATCCAAAGAGCTAGCGGGGGGGCGGAGCCACGGCGTTGTGGCTCCAACCTGTCCTCACCCCCAGGAGCCCCGCTAGACCCCAGGCGGATACTGGATAATGCTGTGTCCAATGATGTCTGTTCCATGGTGTTCGGGAACTGCTGTGGTTAGGGGGACTCGGAGTTCCTCCTGGACCCTTCAATGACAACTTCCGCATAATGAGTTCCAGACGCGGGGAGGTGAGAAGGGCTGGCCTGCTCTCGCCCTTGTGTGCCCGGTCTAACATCAGACTCTTGAGTATACAGAGCTACTTCCATGGGATCGTTACAGTAGGACAGTCTTAGAACCTTGGGATGGAAGAGCAAAGCCTTGGTCCAGTCGCTCCATAGGGAAACTGAGGCCGGTTGGCTTTGTCTAAGGTCCTGCTGAAATCCTGTCTCCACAGATGTACGACATTTTGCTTTCTCTCCTGGACTGGCTCCCGGGGGCCCGCACCATCAAATCTTCCGAAACTTTGCAGAGCTGCGGGTCTTCCTCTCCGAATAAATCCAGCGGCGCAGCCAGACGCGGCGGCCCGGGGAGCCCCGCGATTTCATTGACGGCTTCCTCGACCAGATGGATAAGGTGTGGGCCCCTGCTACCCCAAGCGCCCTCCTTGCCGCCCTGCCGGCGGCAGCACCAGTCTCATCTCCCCGCAGGAACTGCGGGATGCGGGAAGCCATTTTCAGGAGACTTTGGTGATGACGACGCATAGCCTTTTCCTCGTTGGCGCCGAGACCACAAGCACCACCCTGCTCTATGGGCTTCTCATTCTGCTCAAGTACCCAGAGACGGCCCGTCTGTGAGCCAGCTGGGGCGGCCCGGGATGAAAACCTGGGTCTTGGGGATGGCTGGGGGTCTGAGGCGCGCGCGGCTGACGGCCTCCGTCGGCCCGAGCGAAGGTGCAGGCGGAACTGGACGCCGTGGTGGGCCGGTTGCGCCCCCCGAGGCAGGCGGACCTCGCGCGTCTACCTACACCAACGCCGTGCTGCGTGAGACCCAGCGCCTCAGCGTACTGCCACGCAGCCTCACCCGCGACACCCACTTTCGCGATCATTTCCTGCCCACCGTGCCCTGGGGATTCTGCGCGGGTTGGGGAAAGTGGGTAGGTACACCTGTCCTTTTCAGTGGAAAGCCACCGGCAAGTGCGCACAGCGTTGATGGATACACTAGGCCCTGGGAGCTGGAGAAAAGGATCCTTGGCTGCCCGAAACGCAGACGCCTGCCAATTCCGTGTTGGCATCACCCAAGGGCACCTTCATGATTCCCCTGTTCATGTCATCACACCGCGACCCCACTCGACTCGATGTCCCGGACTGCTTCAACCTCACCAACTTCCCGGACAAGGTCGCACGTTTAGGAGCAATGATGCAGTCATGCCTTTTGCCCCAGGTCTGGACTGGGGAGGCAGGGGACCAGCCTGGACCCACCAAGTGTGTAGGGTGCTCACTGCACACCCGTTTTCTCAGAAAGCCATGTTCATGGACACAGGCCTGACCCACTAAGAGATCTTCCTCTTCCTTAACCACATCCTGCAACCGTTCCACCTGCTCCCAGTGGGAAGCCTCACCAACATCCACCTTCCCCACTACACAGGGCTGGGCAGTATTCCCCCAGCCTTCCAGCTCTGTCTGGTGGCCTGGTCAGGCCCTGCCACCCTCTGCTCACTAGCCCTCAGGCTCCCTGACTCCACTCAGTAACAGTCCTGAATTGCAGATGGAGAGCGCCTTACTAAGCAGGAGAGGGAGAGCGAGGTGTGCGACTCTGAGGTAAACTTTTATTTATTTCTTGGCTGAATTCCACACTCATGCTCCTGCAGGCACCTCTCTCTCTGCCCAAGCAGTGGCAGCCCAGTCAGAAAGGTGCTCTGGCCAAAGGGGTTGGGGAGTCACTTCACATTCCAGGCTGGAAGAGTGAGGGGCTTGGGCATATACCCCCACAAACCTTCCCCAGCAAGAGGCCATGACTCACCCCAACCCCAAATCTGGCATCCTGGCAGGAAGTGGCAATGCCCCCTTCCAGCTCTCCACACCTGGTGGGGGGTTCTAGGGACTCAACCGGACAGGACAGGACAGGACCTAGGCCTTCGCCCAGCTCTTGCCCCCACAATGCTGGCCCCTGCCCAGGTCATAACCCCAGTCCCTGCCCCCTCATGGAGCAGCAGAGGTCTCTCCTTCTTCTTGGTCCTCAGCAACGGACGGAGCCCTCCACACCAGGCAGGATAGAGGCAAAGGCGAAAGCAGCAGTGGTGGCAGGGAAGGAGCCAGCAGCCAAGACAAGGGCCGCCAGCCCAGCTTGGGTCCTCGGGCTCCTGATGCCAGGGTAGGCTGTCCATCCATGCAGCTCTGGGGCTAGCCATTAAGTGGGCGTAGTCGGCTGTGACACGGGCACTTGGACACCTTTCTGTCCTGATGCTGGGGGTGAAAGTGGGGCAGGAGATAGTGAGTCATCAGGGTGGGGACAAGAAATACCTGGAAGGGTGAGGAGACAGCCAGGAAGACATGGGGATCATTCCAAGAGAGTAAGCTGTTGGGGGAAGGTGGGCACAGAGGAGGGAAAATGAGGGGCAGGACATAATGAGAGACTGATAAAGTAGGTGAAGTGGCCTGAGGCCTGTTGTGGCATACAGAGAACAGGAAGGACTTGAGGGAGGGGGTGCTGTCTGGGAAACAGGTACCTAGCTGGTATCTGTCTTTGGCTGCTGCCCGCTCCTTGGCATCAAAATACCAGACGGTGATGGCGTACCTGGGGAGCAGAGAAGCCCCAGCGGGGAATTGGACATCACTTTTCTTCCTTTACTACCACCACACCCATACTGACACGACAGCCCACCCTTCTGGACCTGGTCTGTTTTCCCAACAGCCCAGGCCTCCTCTCAGGCCCTCCCCACTCCCTATTCACTGGAGGGGGGGGGGGGCTCCTGATAAGCCTGGTGACCCAAAGAGAGTACCTGGACACAGCTCTACAAGTATGGGTCATACCTGGTGGCATAGGCTGGCTTCACCTCGTGGGGGTTCCGCCGGTCAGACCAGAAAATGAGCAGCCGGTCAAATAGTGGCTCGATGTTGGCTACCACAGGCCGGCCCTCAGGGAAGATCTGCAGCAGACCACCATGCACCTGGGGGCAGACCAGAGGGTGAGAGACAGGAAGCCTGCCTTGCACTGTCCAGAGGAGCCCACTGGGGGGCAGAGCATCACTCCCTCCCAACACCCAGGCTGGATGTCTTAAAATGAATGACAGCACTGAGTCTGCATCCCTATGGAGATGGGCAGGAAGCTACTGAAGACTACAGGAAATGGGGGAAGTGTTCATGACAAGGCCAGGCAGGGCCAGGCAGACGGCCCTATTTCCTGAAGGTGGAGGGGTTCTCACCACACAGTCTGCTAGCAAGGAGGGCCACTTTCCAGGAAGAGCCAGCAGATGGCACCGCCCCGCGTGTACACGTGCCAAACAGGAGAATCCGAGTTGGGAGTGGATGGGTTCCACCCCCAACTCCGCGCCCTACCTTGACGTCCCAGTTCTGATTCAGGTAATAGATACAGGTGATGCAACGCCCGTCGCCGTGGGGATTGTCAACATGCCTCACGTACCCCAGCCCGTTGCCAGGGTAACACGCCACCATGGCCTAGCAGAGATGGAGGGAGATGGGGTTACTGGGGCTTTGGTGGGAAATATGAAGAAAGCAGACATACCTCCTCTTCCTCACCTCCCCCTGCCTCTCTTCTCTCCCGACTGGAATCTCCCAGCCTCTAGCCTTTCTCCCTCTCAGCCACACTCCCAACTCCAAGTCCATCAGAGCTCAGCTCCTGGTCCTCAGTAACCCACTCCCTGCACAAACACCAGGCTTGGCACCTAATCGGGTTCACTCAGTAGCTGAAAGTTGGCTTCCAAAGATACCCCAATCATACCTCCCTCCCATATTTCCATGGAGTAAAAGTAATTTAAACATTTTCACAAGTTCAGAAACTCTGCCACAAACCCAAGACTAGGGGTTTCCCCCTCAGCTGCAAAGTGGAGTCCCGGGAGCTCAGGGACACTGATGCCGGAATCCACCTCAGAGGTGCTGATGTAGCTGAGCCCAGGTGGGACCTGCTATTTCTTAAGGTCCCCCAGGTAATTCTAATGGGCAGCTATGCCTGAGAACCACTTCCCCCGATGATTCTATAGGTGAGAACTCCCCCGCCTGTAGAATCCCTGCTGAATAATCTGCCTCAGACACATCCTAGAAGAGGTACAGCCAGAATGCTCCTTGGAAGTGACAATGGCCGACTTCGTCTCACCTACTTTGGTCATGTGGTGAGAAGGCACCACTCCCTGGAGAAGGACATCATGATTGGTAGAGGCTCAGTGAAAAAGGGGAAGGCCCTAATCAAGATGGATTAACACAGTGGCTGCTGCGATGGGCTCAAGGGCAGCAAGGATTGTGAGGATGCTGCACGACTGGGCAGTGTTCGTTCTGTGGCAGAGGGTCACTGTGCGCTGGAGCCAACTGGACGGCATTAACAACCACACACGTCATCAGGTACCAAAACTAAAGTCTGAGTGAGGACTCTAGTCCCAACTACAAGGCTAACTTCTAGTGAGTCTGAAGAGCCCCATCACCTGAACAGGCCTCAGCCACCCCATTTGTAAAAAAAAATAAAAGATGGGGGGAGGGGGAGGGCCCTGATAAACACCTCCTCTGTTTATAGCAGTGGCATCAACCTAAGAACACAGCCTTGGTGGTTCCAGATCTCCACACCCTGGTCTAACCTAATCCAAGGCAGATCTTTTTTTTTTTTTTTTTAATTGTGATTTGGGTGAAAATTTAGAAATTCACTTTCCATACAGCAGTTCACATACACTGTCTCATGACATTGACTACGATTTCCCACAATGCAACAGCTCCCCTCCCACTTCCTCCCTATAGTTACTTCTTCCATGTCCACCCCTCCATGCACTCCTGCCCCCCAAGCTGTCTCCCTGTGCATAAACAGCCCTTCTTTCTCCCATGATTGTTCTCTCCGAGGATTGTTATCTACCTCAGGTACACTTTTTAAGTGTGAGAGTGTCCCAATCTCTCCACATCCTCGCCAGCATTTATTTTCTGTCTTGTTGAACTTTGCTGCTAGTGCTGGGGCAAGAGGGTATCTCGTTGCTTTGATTTGCATCTCTCTAATGGCTAATGATCATGAGCATTTCTTCATATGTTTGTTGGCCACTTGCATATCCTCCTTGGTGAAGTGTCTATTCTTGTCTTCTGCCCATTTTTTAACTGGATTGTCTCTTTGTTATTGAGGTGTTGGAGTTTTCTATAAATTCTAGAGATAAGTCCCTTGTCAGATGTGTCACTACCAAGTATTTTGTTCCAATCTGTAAGGTTCTCTTTTGACTCTCGTGGAAAAGTCTTTGGAAGCACATAAAAATTTAATTTTTAGAAGGTCCCATGCATCTAGTTTCTCTTCTGGTGTTTGTGCATTTTAGGTTATGTTTGATAGCCTATTTATGCCATATACTAGAGCCCCTATTTGACCCTAGTTTTTCCTTGAGGAACTTTATAATTTTAGGTTTCACATTTAAGTCTTTGATCCATCTAGAGTTACCTTTTGTGTATAGTGTGTACAGTGTGAGGTACATTATCTTGTTTCATTTTTCTGTTAAGTGGTTATCTAGTTTTGCCAGCACCATTTATTAAACTTTCTCTTCCCCGTTTAATGGATTTCAGCCCTTTTGTCAAAAATCAGCTGACCATAGGTTGATGGATCTATTTCTGGGTTTTCAATTCTATTCCATTGGTC